TCTTTTTGGGAGATCGGGAACCTGAGGAGGCTTCACGGGGCAACAGCTGACCATTGCAATAGCAATACCGCAGCTCTTTTCTTATGTCCAATTGAATTCTGATAAAACCCTATTATTTGATTATAATTATTAGACTGATCATGTATATATTTGACTACTTAAAGCTTCTAGACATTCAATGCATTTTCGATAATCGAGAAACAGATTAATTCAAGCTGAATGTAACATGTTTTATTGATGTGCAAAGGCGCATTCAATTATCTTTTACACGCAAAATAATAAATTCAGGAGAAAAGTATTTTGTATGAAATATGATGATCGATTTGCTGGCACGCTTGTTTAGATTTGTCAAAGAAAGATTATCTGAATACATTTTTTTTTAATTTGCAATTCTTGTTTATTTTATGTTTCCGTCCGTGGCTTTACAGTTTCGAATACACATTGGCATTTTAAACTACTTTTTTATCTTTTGATTTAGGTATTTCTCAGTATTAATCAATTTGCTGAAAAACGAATTAATTTGAACTGGAAAATCTTATGGTATACATTCATAAAAGAAAATTATTTTTAAATGTGTTTCGAAAATAAATAAGTTCTCTGATGTAAAGGCAACTGTGTTTAAAACTTAAACAATAATATTTGGACTTTTTTCTCGCACCTGATATGCACGTGTGAATGCTCTAATTTAATTTGACTAAATGTATTCTCGCTGAAGTGTGTGCTTTTCCGAAGGACGCGGAGTGATTTCGGTATACTATATCAAAAGATTGGATCAAAAGTGTTTATTCTTCTCATTAAACTAAGCAGCATTTTTATTTAAGTAACTTGTAGCCATTGAAATTAACCTCAAGCAGTTACTCTAGGAATTAATAGTTTATCCTGCCCTATTGAAAACAAGATAAACGAACAAATGGAAGACAAAGCTAGGGGTAGCGCACCGTGTGTTCGAGTGGCCTCGGCTTTTATTCTTGGGTAACTAATAAAACACACATCATGTGGAGATTAGCCGGTTCTTATTGGTTTTTAAACTTTATGTATCCTTAAAGTAAACTTCCCCAGATTCAACCTTTTGAATTAGACTTTGCAATCAATTTTAAAATACAAATAATAGTGATTAAATTCTGTCAATAAATTTGCTCATTTTCTTTTTAAAGTGGGAGTTCCATAAACTTTGTGTGTTTGTTTTTAAAGAGAAATGTTTTTAACTCTGTGTAAATAGCCGTAAGAGATCCTTCCCAAAAAGCCTTGGTCCTCATTTATGATTTTTATTAGGGCTTTTTAAAACGTAGAAAAATAAAATATTAGCATAAAAGTTTGATTTGGATAGAGAAAAAATGTATTGAAATGATACCTTTTTAACCAAGTTTAAAAAGTTGTGAAGGACTTGGTTATTTATTAGGTCAATAAACCTTTTCAAAAAGTAAATTTTTTCATCAAATGAAAGAATTTGAACAAGTTTCATATGGAGGCTCAATGCAAATGTTTGCTTTTTGAACATGAAGTGTTTAATTTGTCTGAATAGAAGATTTTTCTGGGGGTAGATCTATAAATTAAATATCATATCGCGATAAGATAGTGCACTGTGACCCCCAGTTGGTTTTACATTCTCAATATTATGTCATATTGATTTTGATACTTTAGAACGCAATTATGTGGATTTTTTCATTTTTTTATGTCATTTTAATTCTTTTTATACCTATATTAAAATGTATTTAAATTTGGTTTCTGTTATAAGTAAGAATTTTCAAATACGTCTCAACTACAAGAAGATAGTAGAGAAACTTTAGTGAAAAAATAACAATTCATGAAAATCTTAAATTTTCCTTTTTGTTTAATTTTAAAGAACATTTTTATTTCATAGAATTTTTCTACCAAACAAATTCAAGATTTTAAATATGATTTTTTCGAGAAAAGAAACTTTTTTTTTCTTTAAAGGTATGTAAATGCAAGAACGTAAAAAGAGAAATAAAATAACATCGATTTGCTTTCCTTTATAATTCACGCATTGCGCTGATCTTCTTTTATAATGAATTGTCAAGATGTGCAGTATATGAATAATATTAAATTTATGTTTCATCAAATGAAAAATAACACAGCAACATATTGGCTGTTATTTAGTACATAGCTGACAGATATTCAGTTCAAACTGTTTTCGGGCAGTTACTGAAATTACATTTTAGTCATCACGTACACATGTATTTGTTTCGTAATATTTCACGATTTGTTTATAATTAAGCACTCGTGCAGTAATCTGCATCTTAATTGTTTGCAAATTAATTTAATTGAGACGATTTTTTATTTGAAATTTACTATGTTCTAGTAAAATAAAATGGACTAGACTATGTGTAAAACAGTTTTCAGTAATTTAAAATTTAAAACAAAGTAGCATGGATTATTCAAAATATAGGAAAAAACTGTTACAGTATATGTTCTATTGTTTTGCTAAAGAACTTTTTGAAATACGATGACTGCCAAGGACTAAAATCATACGTTGAATACACGCAATTTTTTTTATCCTCTCCAAAAGTTTCTTTAAGATTTTAAATATATTTTGTTAACCAAAGTCCATTCCGTATTCAGAACAAAAGATTTTAACAATGACCAGATAGGTGTATTAGATTCAAAAGATTTTAAATGACTGTTTTAGTAAGTGATTTAAGAATAGGATTGACTTTAAAAGATTCTTTAATTTGAGGATAAATAAGTTACGTTAATAACCATTATTCCCGCTGATTTGACATACTTGAAAGGATCTTGATCTGAAATACAACAAGGAACAGAGCCGATTGTTACGTAAAAAATCAAGGAATGACCAGTCTTTGGACGATTTGGTCCATTTTAGAAACAACATGTCCCTCTTTCCCAGGGATCTTTAGAACAATGTTGTCAATATTTTGTATGTAGATCAGGAAAAAGTGATTCTTGTAAGTTTAACGGATTGCAAAGTCAAGGAATATCTATACCCCCAAAGTTAATTTATATTCGGTTCATTATACCGACTGTTTCCGTTAAAAATAACTTTTTTTGCAATACATGAAGTTAAACGTCCAAATTATAAAATCAATTAATTTTTTTGGTCTAAAAGTTTGAAAATGAAACCGTTTGGTTGCAACAAAAGTATATATTTTTAAAGAGAAAATGAGAATTATAGGAAAGAACTATACATGTATGGCCAGCTGCTACAAATTTAAACAATACGTAACCCCAATTCGTAAAATGGTTCATGGTAATGAATTAGAAATATAAGCAATATTTTAATTCAAAATCCTCAGCTGCAGATAGCCATAAACAATATTTCTCGTTTAAACAATACTACTTTTAAGTATTGTGGAAAATTATAAGTTGTAATCTAAAGCTATATGCGTAATGTGATCTGAATTCAGGACAGCTGTAAAGGTTAAAAGTGAAGGCGATATGCAAATGTATTTAAGAAATTAAATATTAAATTACATATCTTATCGCGATTGATGACGTAACAGTGTGATTTTTTTTTTTACTGTACACTCGGTGCGATGAGGTATTTTGTTAAAAGTTGGTTTGAACAATTTTTATTTTCATTTTTCAGTACTCATTAGAAAATATCGAAGTACTCATTATTAAAGACTGTACTTCTGGTAAAATATGTATTTACTCTCATTTACAGGTTTCAGATGTTGACTACGAGGGCCGTTCAAAAATTGCGCGGACTTTAATTTGAGAGGAATCTTTGAGATACATATTTCTGTGAAATTTCGTAACTATCTGACGTCTTGAAGAGTAAATAATAGCAGAGTCCGCATAATTTTTGAACGGCCCTCGTATTTGGTTGAAAATAGACTCGGTAAGTTATATACTTGAGACTGATGACGTAAGTCTGAAGTATATTAAATTTCTGGTTTTTACTCTTCGCAGATTTGATTTCACTTTTATATTTATTGTCATTGAAATAATATCAGTTATAAGATTTATATTTTTATTCCAATATCTTGTAAACTAAATGTTTAAGACAACAATCAAAGAAACAAACGCATTGTTCGCTTTACACAGCGCTATGAAAAAGACTATGATCGGATGTACCCTGGTCAATTAATGAGATATCGAGGGGACGGCGGCGATCAGCGGTCCCTCTGAAGGGGCAACAAGTGGTGCTCTAATTCCAATTCGTGGGACAAATGTTTGTTTTATGCTTAATTTCACAACGTTATCGGGTTTTCAGTAATCCCAGCTTTCGATGGTCCGAATTGTCGACCGTTCTGACCAATTCAAAGAAACGCACGTGTTGCGGACAATACCTTTTCAAAGGTGATTTTTCTAACAGAGAATAAGCCCTCATGAACATCTGATGAAAATGTTTGTTTAAGAGATTTATGGGGCTATAATTGTACCTGTTTAAGAAAAAGTTTTTATCCCACATGATGTAATTTTTATGAATATTCATTGAAAGAAGAAAAGTTTCTATTTCATTTCTATACGAGTAATTTTAGGATCAAATTTAAAAAATACTTTCTTTATATACGTAGATAAATTTAAGAAAACTTAAAAAAATGAATAGATTTTTAACAAAAATTTAATAAAAAATTAAGTCTAGCCATAGAAACAATTTCTCAGTTTCTCTTTTTCTCTGTCTCCACAGGGCCCTTTTTCATCCTGTTATATAAAATAACACTTCATCTATATCCAAATTACATGGAGAACAATTCCAACTCTGCAGTGAGAAAAAGTAAAGTCAAACAGAAAAAAGTTTTGTAGATGAAATATTCTAAACAAGAATTTGAAAAATATTTTTCAAATGTTTTTTTTTTTTCAGAAGTTGTAAATGACTGCGATCATTAAGTTATACTGTAAGATATACATGTATGTCGAAACAAGTAGGTTTGTTGTTTTCTTATACTTAAAATTATCTAAGCATTAAGAGAAGGTTCTTTTGATATAATAAAATATATTTTTTCCAGTTGTTTTCATCCATATTACATGTACCTTTGATATTCGTACAAACAAAATGAGATAAGATGAAAAGAACAAAGGATTTTATGATTTATTAGTACAATGAAGAGTCTGCAGAAATAAAGATTAAAACATTTACAGTAAATATTGCACCTTAAAATAAATATTTGTATTCTGTAATATTCATGACATTGAATATTTTCTGCAGATGATACGACAAAGAAAGAGATCGACAAAATTGCGTATAAATGTAATTCTTCAGTTTCTTCCTAGAATCAACCAGTTTTGCCACAAAAAAGGAAAACAGCTATCCCTTTATTTATTATACAAGTATCAAAATATTTCAACATTCAAAATTTTTATTAGCGCAAAATCATGCGTTTTTATTAAATCTTCAAAAATACATCATGATACATCAATTTCATCATCACTCTCAGAACTACTTGTAACGTCGTCGTCCATTGGTTGCTCAAATGCCACATCTTTGAAGTCACGTGATTGTGAAATATGAATTGTTTTTTCAATGCTTTCTTCAGTTGCTCTAGTCTGTGTGCATTCTAATTGTTTGCAAGCAACATGACCATCTTTGTTGATGACGTCCTCACCGTCGTTGTTGGAATCTGATTTGCATGGTAAAGAAGAATCACGTGATCCACCTCCAGATAGCATCTCCCGCTCTTTTGAATTCCTCCATTTCATTCTTCTATTTTGGAACCAAATTTTGACCTGAGGGTTTAAAAAATTGTCAGATATTTCAACATGTGCATGCCATTGTACAATTTCGAGACCATACGAATGCATATTCAAACAACTTCTGGCTTATCATAACATATGTTGCTTTATTTGATGTAAATTCCATCATGTTATGTGATATAAATTAGAGAAACATATGACATTTATTATATTGAAATATTTACATACTAGTTTTTCCTGCTGTTACTATGTTCTCTTAATAATGTGAAGTGATTCATCCACAAATAATAAATTAATTTTTTTTATCGAATTCTATTTAGGAGAGAGAAAAAAAAATAACCAAGTTACAGGTCAAATAATAAACTTGTGGAGAATTTGGAAATTTCAGGAATGAGCATTGTTAAAAATAGATATAACACATTTTGAAGAAAGAAAAGAGAAAATAGCCAAAGGTGTTGTGTTTCAGACATGCCCATAAGAGGGACAGCGTGTGTCTAAGATGTTTGAGATGATGAAAAATTATTAAAACAGTGATTGGTCATTAAACTTGTGTTTATTTGTGTACGTCATAAACAGCTGTTTGGAATTGTTAACGAAATGCCCCTCGGTTTCCGACTGCATCGATTAGGTGTCAAAGAGAAAAGAAAGCTCTGTCGCTATTAGCTAATGCAGAGATTCCCCCGTGCATGTGATTTACGGAGAAGAGAAACTGTTTAAGATGGTTTTTATCAATTGCCCGACTTCGTCCGAACACGCATGCATTTGGAAGGATTTGTAAAGAAAAGGAAAACCCACGAGGAGTTCCAGGCACTTTGTATTGTAATTGAAACATCTGGTATAGACACTGTATAAGAAATAAATTGGAAATCGGGCGTCGATTTTGTACTTAATTAGTCGTTTAGATTTCATAAAAGTCGCTACAATATCTGGAGATGACATGAATGTTATTCGGAATTGTTGTCGCGCCCTTGGATATCTTATTCATATTCTCACATTTTGCTAATTACAAAAGCAATTTATTTATAAACTGTCATGATTGGATGTAATATATCGATATGAAATTAGCTGCATGTTTATTTCCTTGATTGAAACAGAATTGTAAATGTTACGCGTACATGTACAGTGAATGACATAAAAATTGACATGTAAATTTTTTTTCGTTGAAATTCTTCGCTTTGAAAATTGCGAGGGGAATACACGAATGAATGCATCTTCTTTCCTGTCTAGGATCCATTTGCATATAAAGATTATCAATTAAGACCAGCTCCTTAATTTGCCCAAAGATGTTTTAATGTCGTGATTTTTTTAAATAAAAAATTAATAAGGTACCTGTGAATCTTTTAAGCCCAGTTTAGCGGCTAGTTTTTTCCTGTCGGGTTTGCTGATGTATTTCTGTTTTTGGAACATCTTTTCCAGACCCTTTCTCTGCATGTCTGAGAAGACCGCTCTCCTTAACATCCCTCTTCTTGGTTTCCCTCGCATACTACTCAGGAACGTAAACGCATTTGGAACCGGTAAAAGTGGGGAATCTGAAAAATAAAAATTACCTATTTATATTGAAATGTTTCTTTAAACATAGGAAAGATATATCCCATAAACTTTGGATGGTAAGGTACAAAAATATATTTAGATTATACACGTAAAAATACTTAGTTAGTAAATCTTTAAGACCCCACCTCCGAAATTTTCCATGTAAATTCAGCGGAATCTCTAAACTGATATGTTTCCCTTACGCATTATTTGTTCTAAGATTATTCATTATTTATTCCACGGACAAATCCGGGAAAAAATGAAACGATAGTTTTATTTATGAATGTATAATATACTGACAAAATAATGCATTGAAGGGGTCAGGGTTGCATTGCACACAAATAATCAGGTATTCCTTTCCACCAATAACCATATGGAGTTTTTATAGAAATTTAAGGGGATTTATGAATATAGAAATAAAGGATCACCTTATTAATATATGCCTTTTAAAAAAAGTCTGTCAGCAAAAATAAATAAATAAAACACGGGGGTACGGGGTGAGATGGTGATCCAGCCAGCAAATGTGTCCTTGGAAAGCGACATATTCTAGACCTATTTTTTGTTGTTTATTTTACTGCTATTTTATATATATAATTATGCAGTTATTTTTAAAAAAATGATGATAAACACGCGCGCCAACAGTAAATATACATTTTTCAATTGTATTGAATTTCCTGGGGGCGATGTAATAATTTGTCATTGGATCTCGTAGGCGATTGTGATTATATTACACGATAAATTTCAATTGGGTTTTATTGAGAATGATAACGATTTAAGCAGCGCCAACTGTTGCCGTCATTTTGTGTACGTTAATTATACTGCATATAATCTCGTAATCAATATTTCGCATATTTATATATTTCCTGATATATATATATATATAAACTATTTCTGTCTTTATACAAACAGAAAAAAAATGGATTTGAGGATTTTGAAGTTAAATAAGTTATCGATGAATTATTTGATTTGTTAATATTGCTTGCCATTCACATTTGGAAATAAAAAATAATTTTGAAAATTTTTGTTCATGGTCGAAAATAATTTTTTAATCAATGAATAAATACCTTTTCAAAACTACGTGTATCTTATCCATAAATTTTTATAGGGCCATCAATTTGCCTTAATTTAAATTCAATTGTGAGCTCTTGTGTGCACAGGTGTGCATCTCTCTGGCAGCTTTAGAAGAATTTGACAAATTAGTCTGAAAAAATTATTAGCGAATGCAGAATTGAAGAAAAAAAAATCCTGCAGAAACTCAATTTTTAGAGAAAAAGAGTGAGGGAAAAAATCGCCCTACTGCAAGGTTTAACTTTTTCCACAGTTTATACGGGGTGTCTCATTTGCATTTATCGTCAATTTTCCCCCGTGGAATGAGGTGCGTTTGATATCCTATCTGGTGTGAACAGTGGGTGGTATGACGGAGACTTCTATAAAGAAGAAGACCAGTTCAGTAAATCTGACATATCAAAGGGGTACACATTCAGCTTCGTCGTGTAAATCTGCCCAATAATTCCGGGTTGCCTTCAGTCTAACTCGTTACATACCTTATAAGTATTGAAGAAATCATGCGAGAGGACACATGTAAACACGTGCGCGCCTTTCATGTATCTTAAGTCTTGGGTCAAGTACCTTTCGTGATTAAAGGCTTCTATTAGAATTAACTCAAACTCAATTCGAAAAAAAAAAGTTTCAGGGTAAAGAGGTCTTTTTGTCAAACTTTTGTTTATTAAGTGGGTGATACATTTCAAGTATAAAATATTCATTTGATTTGGTTTAAAAGAAGATATGGGCCGGTCTTTTAATGAACACAAGAATCCCTTTTATTGAGGCATTTGATTAGAGATTGGATTGCAATGAAAAAGTTAAACGTCAAGGTATATTACTTGATTATTTATTAGTGTATCTAGGCGAAGAGCACCTCCGGTGTTGTTTGAAATTTTGCATAGGGATAGGAAATATTTTGATTGAACATTTAAATAACGATGACCATTAGCACACACAAATATTAGTACATAATTGCAGAAGTTTATTATATTGATCGAAATTTGGCTTTTATCACGCAATTATTGCCCATGATAATATCTATCTTTGAACAATTAAACACGGTCCGGTCCATCTCGAGCTGCGGCCTCGGACGAACCGATATCGCCCCGGGTTTTCTTGGCTCTCATACATTGGCGCCGAAGTGACAGTCATTTTTGTGAAATAAACAAATGATAAAAGAAAAACTCGTTAGCATGGCCATCAAACTAATAGATACATCAATGGAATAACTCAGCACTCTAGTGCTAAATTTTCGGAATTTTTGGAACTTTTCTTAAAAACAGACAATTGCATAGACCTTCATCGAATTCTTAATCGCAAGATCTTAAGTTAAATGATCGCAGAATTTGTTTTTTAAATAATTAATTGCATTAATACAAGCTTGTTTAATAATTGATTTTTGCAAAATTCAATGGGTCACAAAGAGGAGAAAGTTTTATATCAAGCAACATAAAAGCAGACACATATTTTCTTACTTGTGAAATAAGGATGCCTCATCATTCCATTCAGATGTGGATCGTAGAAAGGGTGGCGCGGAAAATAGGCAGTAGGGTGAGGCAACCCCTGCCCCATAAGCCCTGTTCCACATGTCTTTAGGTAGGAGGCTGGGAGCCCGGGGAGGGACGATGGAGGGGTGGTCAGTGTCGAAGAACATGTCTCTTCCACTGTAAATCAAATAAGAACATGAAGAAAGATATTTATTTAACATGAAGAAAGATATTTATTTCTATATCTTAAGCCTAAGTAAACCATCGGGAAAAATGAAGTTATTTTTAATAATCAAATTAAATTGTCAAGAAAAGTAAAACAATTTATTTTTGAAAAAATGGATCGAAGATTGCAAGCTTTCGAAAGGTAAGTAAATTCCGATTTAATATTTATAAAATTATATTTTAAAATAAAAATTTTGTTTTGTTTAAATTTGACTTACCGTGTTTTTGTACACTCTCATCGTCAGAGGATCCTAGAATCGCGTTAACTCCGAATTTCAGGAACGATGACGTTGAAGGATTTTGTCGCGAGCCGTCACCAGGAGATTTCGGCTGTGGGGGGAGGACGGGTCTCCCCAGGGGAAACTGACGAGACAGCAATGAGTGACCCCTCTCGCGGAGTAAATTTTCAACAAGAAACGATGCAGAAGGTCCAGGTTGACCAAGTCCTTGAGCGTCCAAATTGGCAGCTGAACGAAGGTATGTTTGATACAACTGTGAAGGCGAAATCACATTTGGAAACATTTTTAAACCATGTAAGTCTGAAAACTGTTTTATACTTGTAAAAAATTCTAACGAAGTCTTCTATCTTGCTTTTTTGCCCTGTTTAAGACATGCAAGAATCACCACATTCCTTATGGGTACTATGTAGGAGTTAGCGGCATCAACCTGTTTTATCCCATATTTTTTATGAGCAGATACGATAAAATTTATTCGGTTTGATTAGCTTCTAATTCTAAACAATTTGCAAAAGCCGTATTTTATACATTATAATATCAACAAATACTGAGCACGTGGCTTTTAACCAATCAAATGCGTAAAAAGCTTCCAGCTTCCTTCGAATTGATATTTTCTCAGCTCGTCTTCGTTCGATATAGGCGGAGCAATGGGCCGAACAAATGAACCGATTTAAGGGACACTAAGATCTCATTTACATAGAATCGAAGCAATCTAAATAAAGTTAAATATTTCACGGTACTGGATATGAATTTTATAATGCTTTTTAAATGTGCGTTAAAGGGCAGAGCGCTTCGGAGACACCAAGCCACCGTGAACAATTAATCCGTTTTATCCGAATTCGCTAAATCCCAAGTATCAATGGTGCGAAGATCGACCTTGCGTTTATTTTCACAGAGGATATAGATAACGTTGAACAATAAACTGTTTTTCTAATCAATCTCGGAGTACTTTGGTTATACAAAATTACTTCATCTATTACTTACACTTTTTTAGGCTGAATTTCCATGGGACTCTAATGTCAAGTTTTTTTTTTCTAAAATCTATAAGATCTTTATTCACAGAATTGGTGTGTTGTTTCATGCCATCTAAATTTTGCCATCTACTGATAAGCAAACTTTAGTGCAGATTTTATGAAATATGTTTTACATAACATTAATCAAATAAAATAGTTTTCCTCCATCACTAAGATATGTATAATATACAAATCTTAACTGTCCATAGCCACATTTTGTGAAGAACATTGAAATTAAACATTTAAATTAAATACCTGTATTTATTTAAAGTACATGTCCATAGCGTAGGTCGAAAGTTAAATTTTATTTTTAGACGGAATTTTGGGGAAAAAACATAAATTGATGCGAGGAACAATTATTATACTTATTCATTCAAAAATATGCATGCATTTTTTTGTTTTTGTTTCTTGAGTTATTTTTAATTACTTGTACATGTAATTATGTACATGATATGATAAGCAATCACAATTAAAGGCACAGATTTATTCTTATGAAGAACGATTCGAGATAGTCCACTTATTTCTAATATAGACCCAGTAATCTTAATCCCCTCATTTGCAGTCAAGTGCCGAATTGTAAATAAAAATTTAAAGAGAGTTTTGGAAATTCGATCATTATTCGGTTCAATTTGTGATCCATGAAATAATTATTCGCAATTATTTTCACGTTAATTTCAACGAGTCCTTTCACCCCCAAACACGAACTGCCTTGTCTTTTCGATAATTTGAAAATTCGCCGCACTGCTCATAAATCGAAAGGGACCATTTCATTAAGGAAGGAACAAATGCTCATAGGTGATAGAAATGACCCTCCCGAGACGGATGGGCGTTGACCTTTTTAATTGCATATGACCCCCGTATGACGAATGCGGTTAATATCATTCTGCCGAAGACTAATAAATAAACTTATAAAGCATCAAACGTTTGCAGTCAAACCAGGGGTTACGTAGGTCCTTCTCTGGCCAAAAGAAGTGTCCTCAAATACGGGGGTTCTTAATACGGATGGGTTGACCAAATCAAGATAGAATTTCCTCACAGCTGGGGTACTGCGGTCGTTATTGCGCGTCGGTAATCGGTTACACGCCGGAAGAATAGGTCCAGCACGGCGTGTAATATTGGGCGCAGTGATACGAATTTGCAAAAAAGAGATAAAAATGTTTCGTTGATGGAAAAGAAAAGTTTCAAAGCTTGTTACGATTTATTCATATCGTCTTCTTATGGAAAATACACGATGAAGACAGATGGATGAAAAATTATTAATCATTTTGAGATTTTTTCAATTGTGTATATTTGCATATATTTTCATAATTTAACCATGAAATATTTTTATCATATCATTTTCCTTTTAATATTTATTAGAAACGATTTATTTAATATTTTTAAATAACATTGTAATTGAAATAAGGGGATCTTTAATTTATCTATTTTTAATCGAATTCTTATTAAAATTGCAAAAATGATAATTTAATGAAACATATAGTATTCTATTTCCAAATGATATTTTATACGTTTCTGGAAGTTCTAAAATTAAAAAAAAAAATAACTAAAGGGGAATGATCTTCCATGTAAATCTGCAGCCATTTTCCACATGATAAGATATATAAAGAAGTTAGATTTCTACCTGTACGACACGTCACTTTTTGTGTATGCTTGGTACAAACAAACAAATATAACAACGGATTGTATTTTGATCTTTATTTATTAATTATGAGTGCTTGATTATTTTTCATGTCGTTAAATAAACAAAATTACCGTTACAATGTAGATTAACGCTTTAGATAAATAGGCAGTGTCTCATTTTCCAATATAAATACGTTATATATTAACAACTCTTTGGAATCTTTGAACTCAAGAGAATAAAGTTCAAACTAACATTTCTTTTTTTTAATTAGTTGTTTTTTCGTTAATATTTTTCATACACGTTTTTCATTAAATTTTGTTTATATAATGTACCTGTATATACAGGAAAAAATTATTATTAAAAAAATACTATGGCTTCAAAAAATATTCCATGGGGGAGTTTTATTTTAATTGTAGACGTTAGAATTTTTCTGTAAACGCTTCATATATAATCATTGTATTCATGTTTACCCTAAGTTAAATTAAACTTTATTAATATATATAAATATACTAAGAGGCCGAAACGACTGACAAATAAAATATTCTGTGTCCTACATGTATATTTGTAACAATTTAGAAACAACACATTTTTAATATAAAAATTTAAAGAAATTTAAAGTTTTGACGCTAATATGAGATGATTTCATTTTACACAATTAGCACCACGCGACGAAACTTATTGATATGCAAAAGGACGCGATTCTCGCTAAGGTCACGTGCAGAATGACATGTCACCTATCAAGTTATTAGGAAACGTGTTGGATTTCCTGTATAAATTGTTTTAGAGTTGTCTGATGCGGTAACTAATCTTCGTCAACCATGTAACTCGGTTAACTGATTTTCTGTTTAAGCGACAATGTACTTAGTCAACCCAGGATGATTTACATGTATTGAAATGAGATGTTTAAATCTTCATATGCTCCAAACAACAATATCAAAACATTTGAGACATCGTATGTAAGAGGCCAAGTTGAGATACAGGTACATGATATATAATAATATTGTTTATTTTTTTAATTCGCACAACAAAGTTGTTAGAGAATGTTTCTTTTAAAACTCTAATGGATTTCGTAGAACAAAAAATTAGCTTAGGATCAACCAGAGAAGTTTTTTTTTTGTTAAGATCCTTGTAGTTTTCACAACAAATCTCTCGTTTTTAACATCTTTTCAAAGCTGCACTACATGCTGTAACTTCTTTTGATTTCCATCAAATAGATTAGTGAAGGATATGGAGATATCAAACAGTATTCAATATCAAAGTCCATAAAACAATACAAAATGGGAGCAGAGCAAACACGGACCTCTAAAACATCACAGGTGGAATCAGGTGCCTTGGGGGAGTGAGCATCCCGAGTCGACCGATCACGCCCCCGTGTGCTCATTGTCATGATCAGGAAATAACGGATAAATCCGCCGTCAATTCAGTGTATTATTCTTTGTCCTATAATTGAATTGAATAATGGACAAACAATTAGTATAAAAAGCATCAGTCAGCATTTGACTCAATGATAAATTGTATTTGCTGACAAGGTCATTGTATCGACCATAGAACGAGACTGCTGATATTCTTGATTCATCAACTTGTTCGTCCATAATTTACCTCGTTTTAGAAATTGTTCATACGTAGAGCTTGTTCTTACGTATCGAATCAACTGAGATTTATAAACTCTGTATATACTGGTGATGAAGGTATATTGCTGCATAAGTAAGGGAAGTTGACGATAGAAAAGTTAAAGTCATCGCGTTTATTATAGAGCTTGGTTGTTAGATTTGAATAGATACAAGGTCAATTTTTAAATAATGACAAACCTACTTAATTATTTGATATTGCAATACCATGAATTTTTTCGAGGAGAGTCACATACATATCACTTATATCGAGACGCCAACATTTGCCAGTGGAGAGCTATAAATTTTGTCCTACACTCGGCACTTAGGGCCATTGAGCAATGAGGGTTTTATCGTGCCAGCAACTACTGCGACACGAGACCTCGGTTTATACGGTCTCATCCGAAGAACAGGTCTCCACGTCCCACACTGGAATTCAAACCTGCGACGTAAGGATAAATTCCTTACCCCGCGACTCTAGAAAAACACTCTTACCACTGCGCCACGCGGGCGACAATTTAAAAGGTAAACTTTAATTTTAAAGATCAAGTCCTTAATTTGCTAATGCCAAAATTGAACTTCCCCCCAAGACCTCACTCCTTAAAGGAATCCGATCAAATCTCTGATGCTTTCGAGATCCATGTTTGCTCTACATTGGTATTGTTTGAATGGACCCCCCCCCCAAAAAAAATGCCAAAAATGGGTTCATTCTTATTAGTTTTTAGCTCACCTGAGCCGAAGGCTCAAGTGAGCTTTTCTGATCACATTTTGTCCGTCGTCCGTCCGTCTGTCTAGCTGTCTGTCCGTCTGTAAACTTTTCACATTTTCGACAATTTAAAACTTGGTACATGTACAAAGCATCCTTGGGTGATGGGGAATTTAAATTGTTAAAATGAAGGGCCAAGTCTCCTCACAAGGGGAGATAATCAAGAAAAGACAAAAATAGGGTGGGGTCATTAAAAAATCTTCTTCTCGAGAACCACTGGGCCAGAAAAGCTGAAACTTATGTGGAAGCGTCCTGGGATAGTGTAGATTCTAAATTGTTTAAATCATGACCCCTGGGGGTAGGGCGGGGCCACAATGGGGAATCTAACTTTTACATAGAAAAATATAGGAAAAATCTTTGAAAATCTTCTTTTAAAGAACCACTGGGCCAGAAAAGCTGAAACTTATATGGAAGCATCCTG